TCAAATCAAATTTAATTGTGATGTGCTATTTTTAAATTTTCTTTACTTTAAATGGGGAGGGCAGACATTCAAGCTTAGCATTGAAAGCTCCAAAACATGCATTTCATTAATATTTTTAGATAAATAAAAAATTTTATTACATTGAGTACAAGGTGTATATCACCTATAAATTTACATTCACATGATAGCCATGATGCATTTTATTCATTAAACTATAAGCTTAGGTGCCATTTATTTTTACTTATTAGTAACAAACGCAATTCATAACCACTTGAATTAGTTAGCTCATTTTATTTTCTTTTATTAAAAAGAATGTCTGTGAGTCGTGATGGAGAAAAAAAAAATTTCAGTATGGTAATGCTATACATTGCCAACTGGCATTCCCACTTGATATTTAAACAATTTAAACAATGGCAATGCGATTCTTTAAAAATCAAAGATACCATACCAGTACTGCTTTATGGGTGAGTTGTCGGTTTTCAAGCTATTCACTATGATGGTGATGTTGTTACCATTAAGGCATTAACCTTTTTAGAAATATATGCGTTTAATGCATGCATTAAAATCATTGGCACCAAATTTTGACAGAGAATGTCAATATGAATTGGGCAAGAATTGAGTAATGCTGCTAATGCATTACCCCTATCAGTTTTTTTTTTCGTTGGCTATATACTATTGTTTGATACTCCTTTGTTTTTCCTAAAATTTTTTTAAAAAAAATTCAAGTTTTTCAAAACAAATTGCATAGTAAAAATGTAATTTATCTTATAAATTTATTTAAATACTTTTAATGAAATAATATAAAAAATAATTTTATTAGGAATATTTAAATAAATATAAGACGAATTACATTTTTAATGTACAATCTGTCTTATAAAATTTTTTTTAAAAAATATATATATATATATTTCTTTGAATAATATTTTTAAAGAGTTATTTAGATAATTATTGACCTAAGAGTTTCTTTCTTTTCTTTTTTTTTTTGAAAGTTTCTACTTTAATTTGTCTTTGTAAGACTCTCTTAGCCAAACTAAGGCTTTGTTTAGTTAGACTATATTTTTAATAATTAATAACTATAATTATTAATTTATAATTAATAAAATAATTAAATTTTATTATTTAACTTATTATTTAAAAAGAATTATACACAAATAAAATTAGATAAACTAAATACACCTTAAAATTTCGAAGTCAGCTAAATTCTACTCGTAACTAATATTGCTACATCAACAATTATAACCTCTTCCATGATAATCATTTTAACGAATACAAATGTAAACACAACAAACCCCGAGACCAGCAGCACCCCCAATCTGTTTCCACACCAAATTCCATGGCACAAAGTGGGGAAGTAAGAAAGACAAGTACCATGTTTTGATCTAAATCTTGGATCATCACATCGGAAAAGCCAGGAGACCAGTAGCTTGAAATGGTTGACTTGTGTGCACTGACCAGTGACCATTGTGGAAAGTGTTAGCAAAGAAATGGGTCTCCATCTTGAAAGAATCCTAGGTAGGGGTCCCATGTTTGCCTTACCCACACTTGTATCGTTGAAGTCTTTTTTGGGTTTTTCTTCTTTTGCCGGTCGTCACTTGAAGTTCAAGGGATAAGAATTTTGGCAAGGGTAATGTTTATCTGTTCAAGTAGTTTGTTCATAAATTACTCTCTTACAAATTTGAAAGTGAATTAAAAAACTTTTGTAAAGAAGAAAATGGAAGGACATGTTAAAAGAATGAAATGAACTAAAAGAAAAAAAAAATAAAGTAAACGATTTAAAAAAAATAGCAATTAAATAGAGAAATTATTATCATTCCCCCTTTCAAATTAAATATATCATTAAAATATTATGGTTAGATGTCAATTTTTGTTCCTAAACTTTAGAGTTTTGTATAGTTTTCGTTTTTTCATTTTTTTAATGTATTTTTTTATTCTTCAACTATAAAAAAATATTTTTTTAATTCTTTAATCAATCAGTTCATTCAGTATATTCATATATTCATATTTTTAGTTTATAAACTTTTAAATTAAAGGATGAAAAATGTACTTATATTATAAATTCAGAAATTAAAAAACTACATATCTAAACATATTTAATGACTAATTGACAGAAGAACAAAAAAAAGTGCAATATTGCAATATTCGTAATTGAGAGACTAAAACAACGGTATAAAAAAGTTGAGGAATGAAAATTGTTTAAATTCCTAAAATTAAAATACCAAAACTGACATTTAACCAGATATTATTTATGAATAGATATAAACCGAGTAATTTGGGTAGCACCATCTCAATGGAGATGTTAAGTTTTTATCTCTGGAGAAAGCATGAAATCGGAATATAGTTATTGCCGCGTAATTTTTATTAAGATTACACAAAATATTTGCTTGACCATTAAAAATAGTTAATAATTATAGTTTTTAAAAAATAAAATAATTGATATCTATTACTTAATAAAATAAAATAAATTTATAAATTAATATATAATTTTTTATATTAGTTGCACAACAAAAAACAATTATTTTTTATCTCTTATTTCATCTCATTTCATATATCATGTGATTAGAATTTTAGATATTTTATTTTTAGTGAAAGGATATTACTACTAAGTTACTTGTGTCGTTAACTAAATTAATATTTTTAAACATTATAATTAATCATATTTTAATAAAATTATAAATTTATAAAATCAATTAAACAAAAAAGAGGCTTGTGGCAAAAATCAACCCCAGAAATCAACATTTTGCCCCAAATGGCGTTTGCCTGTTTGGATTGGATCGTTCCTGCCTTCTTGGGGTCTTCTTTTTCCGAGCCCACGCATCTCCGAGTTCCCTTTTACTCTTGCATTCTCGCTCACGCATCCGAGTTGAAAAGCCTGTTGCTATTTTCTCTGGATGCAGTGTTTAAGAGTTGTTCCTGGATGACTATATATACCATAAATGTTGAGACACAGATGGCCATAAGTTTGTTTTAATCAAGTGACTTGAAATTTATCAGCATTGATACCAATTGCAAATATATAATTTCCTCCTCCCAAAAACTACAGGTAACATGTCTTATTTATCACAAAAGAAATCTCATAATTTTAGCGGCTGTCTTGCTACACCAATCAATTATAATATACATCCAAAGACGGCAGCTAGCTGTTTCTCACTAACTTTCTTTTTTTTTGTGAATGAAGTCGACCTTTTTCGTTGTCTCCACTCATGTCATCTTTTCTTCCAAGAAGGGGTTTGAAGGACAGGGGGCTTATCAGGACGCAAAGCAATTATTTTTAAGAAATTCACTTCAATAAGGACAGCAGAGAGCTAAAGGGAAGACCAAGGGTTTCTTCGACAATCCAGAGAACCGTGATCAAAATGCTTTAGTACTAATGCAAAGATACAATATTTTGAGTTTAGTTTAGAGACAATAACCCTTGGTGACTTTTTTGAGTTTATGAACCAATTTGAAGTTTTGTATAATAATTCAAGAATAAATTAGTAGATTTTAACCTTAAATAAATAAACATTAAATACTATTATCTTATAAATCAAATTTCGTGTTTAAGTTTTAGAGGCGACATTTAAGAAAATTTTCCATGCAGCTAGGGATTAATCTCAAATTAATTGGTCGCCCAAGAACACCTCTACCATAAAAAAGACAACAGATAAAAAAAAAAAAAAGAAGAAGAAATGAACACCACACACACACAAATAAACATTCAATGAAAATGGTTAATCTTCATGTATAAGATTTATCTTTTGATTTGAAAAGAACCCATCAGCCATATCCACACAAAGCAATGTACAATGACGGTTCAGGGCCATGTGCAATATCCTCCATATGGGATCACAATGTCTTGCATTACCCAAGAAAGCACAAGGTTTCTTCAATAACTATATATTTAATAATAATTAAATATTTGATGATAAATTATAATAAAGTTAATAATTATCTTCCGTAAATCTCTTTTGACCCTATCAAAAATTAAATTTGAAATCATACGTGAAAACTTAAGATCTTTAACTTTTGTAACTTTTGAGATATTACCTAAACATTATGCTACATTATGTGTTTTTTTTAATAACAAGTTATATGTGCATAATTTGATGGCGTTATTCAGTATGGGTGGAAATTGAATTTAGAAGCAAAATTACCAAATCCTTGGGGACAGGTCAATTAATTTGCCTCCAAAGAAATTAAAACAAGTGTGACTGCCTTCACGTTATATCTTACGACTTGCCAGTCACTCCTGCATTACCAAAAAAATGCTACATGTGATGTATAGTTGTTGTGAACACAGAATCAAAAGAAAACAATAACCCTTGGTTCCATAGGTACTGATTTCAATAACCATAGGCATGGAAGAAGCAAAAACATCAGCACCAATAATTTATCTCTCAGATATATATATATATATATATATATATATATATCATAAGACCTAACTGTACAACAAGAACTCATATGAGCATGCCAACACACTCATCTTTGAAAAACTATCAAGGTTGAGCAACAAAAGTTGTATTGATGCACAAACAATATTTGAATTATAAACTTCAATACTGTGTTGTTTCAATCTAAGTTCTGGTAAAGTTTTGGCCTTACGTGACTGCTATGTTTGAGGAGGGTAATGCTGATGGTTAAGTAGATACTTTTCGTCACTATCATCAAAATCAAAGGTATCCTCCCTGCCATACTCAATATAAATTTTATCTTCTTCCTTTCCGTTCATCTCTATTGTTTCTGCAATATAAATTTCTGAGTCTTTTTCATTTGAATGGGAATTTTCCGACTCTATTTGTTGCATTTCTGATTCTGTTAATGCCTGCATCCTTGCTCTCTCCCGGTCCCTTGGATATGTGCAATAAAGGAATGAATAAATGAGAGCACAAATGGTCATTGGTAGTCCAATTGATGCATACAGTGCCTTGGCAAGTGATGCAGCATTTTCTCTATCTGTTTCAGTCTCCACTGATTTTGATGATCCTTCTGGTATTGGTTTATATCCATAAGCATGCTGAGCCAAAATTCCAACTACAGGGGGAGCAAAGGATGACAGTATGGACTCAAAAGATCGATCCAAAGCATAGATGCTCGTCCTGGATTTCTCTGGAACAATCTCTGCAAATATTGGACTGTTTACACCATTAGCACACCACAATGGCAGAAGATACTAGTTAAACATAGAAAATACTTTTTCCAAAATTTCACATGTCCATGTCAAGCATGTGTTATGTGCGGCATTAATGTGCAGTGGTAAATGTTGAATCAATTTGTTCACCATTTTCTTCCCCTAGCCAACCTAACACAAAAAGTACCAAGTGCAGTAAGGTGGAGCCATAATACTTACTTGTTAGTAGCTGAAGCATTCCATGAAATCAACAATCCCATGATGAACAAAACTAGACCATGCTTAAAAGATGTAGATGGATCATCTGGCAATGCCAATAGCAAAATTGCTGCCATAGGTACAGCAGAACCTGCGCTTATCTGCGACAGGATAATTCTCCCACCATTTGGAAAGTGCTTTGCTAGAAAATCCCCCATCATCCCTCCACAGAGGCCCCCAATTGAACAAGCAACAGAGAAAAGGGTCATGAGCAATGCTGTCATTTCATGGGAGAAGCCTATAAGTTCCAACCACATAGGTGCAAATGACAAAGCTGACCATGGAAATGAACCAGAGACACCTTGAGCAATAAGTAGTTGGAAAGTTGGAATTCTTATTACAGACTTTGCTTCTTTTATTAGCTCCTTCACTTCTGACCAAAAGGGTTGATGAGGAACATTTTCTTTAGCCCCATTTTCGGTACCAGAAAGGCGCGGATCAATAGCAAAGAGTCGTACCAGGATACCAATAATGACACTTAACATGCCAACCACATGAAATGCAAGTCTCCATCCAGCTATACCCATAAATGATGTTGAGGCTATCAGAACTGAGAAGAGTCCACCTATAACGGAGCCAATACCTCCTGTTAAGGTTAGCCATCCAAAAGCCGTGCCACGGTTGCTTTCATCAGTAGAATCAGCAATTAGGGACTGAATTGCAGGTGTAACAATGGCAAGTCCAATCCCATTCAAACCTCTTGAAATTGCAACCTAAGTAACAAAGTAAGGCAAGTACTCCTCAAAGTATGACCAAGCTATGGCCCTCAATTTACTGTTTTTGGTCAGCAGTTTCTTTCCTAGAAAGGCAGATCAAAGGTAACGAACCAACCCAGATTTGCAAATTCCCCCATAACAAACAAGCAAAACTATTCCATTTTAGCGTGTGTTTGGATTAACAATTTATATGTAGCAAATAAAGGATATACTGAACTCAATATCTTATTCATTCTATTAGTCCAAAATTCAAATTGCTAACTTCAAATATATGCTAAACACCTCTTCATTTAACAAGAAACCAAGCAGATCTAAATTATGACATATTAGAAAATAAGACTTGCATCAAACCTAAAACCAATTCATAGGCTTTTTTTCATTTTTCCTTTTTTCTTTTAGAATTAGGTTGAATTTAATTCACATGTTCATCTTAATATATTTCCAATCTGAGATTTTATCACCCTTTTCAAGGGAAATCTCTCATGCTACAGACTTAAGAGTTTTGGAGAAAAAAAAAAAAAAACAATGAAGCAAATATAGAAGAATATCTATACCAAAAAGCAAGAAAAAGAAAAACCCACTAAATTCCTACTTTCCGAAACATGCAAAAAAAAAACAAAAACTGAAGCAAATATAGAAGAACAAATAAATATAAACCCAGAAAAAAAAAATAATACCTGAAAGAAGGTGGTTGAGATGGCGACGAGAAAGGTAGCAGCGGCCCAGAGAAATGCACCAAGAGCAATTACATGGGCACGGTTGTGGTGGACAGCAAGGTAAGCAGCTAAAGGGTAACAAGAAGCTTGCACAATGGATCGAAACAGAGTGAGCGAACCCAACCCCGTCGGATCAGTATGTAGAGCGGCACCAACCTCTTTGTAAACTCCCGGAAGCAATGATTCATCAGCTCTTTCCATTATTCCGGCGAGATTCACCAGAACCAGTGTTAATGTCTCCGATTTCATGGTAAAAGGTTCTTCCTTTTGCTCAGTCTAGGAAGAACAGAATACGGGGAACAAATTTAGAAAACAAATTTAGAAACTGTTTTGTTTTTGTTTATAGAGTCCTCTGTTTTTCCATCCTCTGTTCTTGGAGGAAGAGTGAAAACGGGGGCATGAGTTGACCAAAGGAAACGGAGGTATGGCCCACGTTTGCAGAAATTAATGTAAGATCGGATGGGTACGGTGAGAGGAGAGTGACACGTGTAGGGTCAGATTTGATGGGGTTGGGAGGACTTTGAAACTTGAAATCGTTGCTGAGTGCTGACTAGGATGGGGCCTACTTGGATGGACAAGTGTAAGGAGGTAATTGGATGGGATCGGAAAAGGACGGTGTTGAATTTTGGTAGCCAGATCTTTGGGAATATCCTTTTTTTCGAACAAGTTTAAATTTTAAGAAATTGAGAGATTTCGACGTATATCATGTGGGTGAAAGTGTACGTTTAAAAGAATATTAAATTTTTATTTGCATTTTAGATTTTCTTTTGGTTAACACTTTTCATAATATTATAAAAAAATATAAAAATTAACAATCAAACCATTTATTTATATAAAAAATTAATGATCAAACTCTCTATCTATATTTTAATTTTGTTGATAATTTAAGATTTTTTTTATAAATTTTAAATTATAAAAAATATTAATTAAAAAAATTAATTTAAAGTGTTAACCTTAAAAAAAATTGTCTAAAGACAAATAAATGCTTTGGTCTTAAAAGAAATATTTTGTTTTTATTTTATTTTATTTTTTGAACAAAGCAATTAACGGAGATAAGAAATGGGATCCGTAGAGTTTAAAATCACAACCTACAAAAGATGATCCCCATTAAAGCAAAGGATTCGGCTACTACGGTAAGGCATAGAGATCAAAACAATTTATTTTTGATTTGCTTTAATTGGAAGGAAGGTACAATAGAAGTTAGCAGCAAAAAATTGTCCAAATTAGAGGGAGAGGCGAGAAGTTTGGGATGTGATGGGGATTTGTTTAAGTTTGTCTTGTTAGAATTAAGAATTAATTGGTCAGAACGCTTATACCTAAGTGTTATAAACGGATCAACAATCTTTTGCTATTAAATTCTCTTTTTCTCGATGAATTAAAAATGAGAAAACCGTCCCTTCTTATGCTTAAACATAATAAAAAAATCCATAAACATATAGCTAATCAAACAATCATTACATGCTAAGATTAAATAAAAACAAATTTTTTACCTTATTGATAACGATGGGATCCAAATATTCTATTACTAACTCAAATAAATTATTCTCTATGTTTATTTTTAATAAATTTA